GTCCGTGAACCCCACACCCCGCCCCCCCCCCACAATGCCTAGTCTGGCTGCCCCCCCCTCCACTGGCAAAGCCCACAGGCCAAGCCGCTCCCAGCTGCAAACACAGACACTGAGATCAGCTCCGGGGACCCTCAGCCTCAGAGATTCCCTCCAGCACCCAAAGTTTCAAACCGAAAATGATACACAATTCACTTCCTTCCTCCACAGGAAGGAAGAGACAGACAGCCTTCCACCTCCCCCCATTAGAAATCACACAGGCGGGGTTATCCCAGAAACCAGAAATCATGTTATTCAGTGAGAAAAGATGTCTCTTATGTGGTCCCAGAGGGAGCCAAAAGCACACAGCAGGTTAACAGGAAAATAACACAAACCTCGCAATCTAAGCCAGAGTTACTAAAAACAGCACTGTGAAAGTAGAAAGAATTATACTATAAGAGAAAGATGAATTATGCTGTAATAATTGAATAAGTTGAAGGAATACTGTTTGTCTCTGAACAGGAAGAAGAAAAGTATGTTAATGTTGTTTGTAGGAATGCAGATTACAAAGTGCTAGCCAGAGTTAATAGGAAAAGGAACATTAGCTAACCAAGCAATTGGACAGGAGATTGCTGTGTGCTTGATGTGGAAATGAAGAATACTTGAGTAGCCTCACACTAATTATGTGAAGTTTTGCCCCCCTTTTAATCCTGTTAATTTTGGCTTTCTTTTGACTGTATAAATCAAGGGGTTTGAACCTTGTATGGCACTCACATTTTCTCCATGCATTTTAGCAGAGCTTTGCTGAATAAACAGAGCAGTCTGACAAATCTGTGAGTCCTGTCTGACTTTGACAGCACAAAAATCACGATACAGTAAAAGTAAAATACAAAAGGGATTATCCCAACAACCATTTCTTGGTTGATTTCCTCAGTAAATCTGTGCTATGTCCTGCCAAGCTAAACTAAAAAACCATGTGACCCAACTGCCCTCACCAATAGAGAAAAACCCATAATCCAGGGTGGATTCTGGGAGAGGAGTGACCAGCCCCAGGGACACTCCCCTACAGGGAACAGCCCCATATCAGTGGTGGAGCCCAACCCATGGGCTGGAGGAAGATGGGCGGGGCGGGGACAAGTGTCTAAAGTGAAGGGGGGGGCCTGGCCTCAGTGTCCGTCTCCTCATTTCCATGGCAGGGGGATCCTGGCTGCAAAGGAAGGGGGAGGAGGAGGGGGAGGGGGGACTGCAGAAGGAGCGTCTGGAGGAGTTTCCCCGCGGCCCAGCAGCTCAGCAGCCAGGGCTGCAGCAGGGAGGAGGGGCTGCTGGGGGCTTTTCCTCCTCTGCCAGGGGGTTGCTGAGACCAGGCAGAGCCAGAGGATCATTGACCAGTTACTGCTGGGTCCCTCACCTCAAACACAAGTAGCTAGGAACCCAACCCCCCGATGGGTGTGGGAATATCACTCTGGCCAGCCCTAGTCAGGGCCCTGAGAGATTTTCCCCACTGTGAGGGGAGTCCCTGATGTCCCACATGGCGTGGGACATTTTTCATACTGACAACAGCTCCGAGGTTTCTTCCCTGTGTGGATTTGCAGGTGCCTGATACTCCAGGAGCAGCACGTGAAGCTTCCCTCACATTCAAGGTCTCGCTGTTGTGCGGGTCACTGATGTGTGACGTCAAATTAAACCTTTTCCTGCACTTAGGCTGTTCTTAGACTCCCCTTGTGGAGTCTCTCATGTTTGGTTAGCACTGAGCATGTCCTGAAGCTTTTCCCACACTCAGGGAATTCAGGAAGCCTCTCTCCTGTGTGGATTCTCCCATGTTTGGGGAACTCACAGTATAATCCGAGCATTTGTGAGGCTTCTCCCCTGTGTGGATTCTCCCATGCTGAATAAGGCTTGAGTGCACTCACAGGCCAAGCATGTATGGGGTGGGTTCTCTGATGGGTATAGAAGGTTGATTTCCAACTGAAACTTTTCCCACACTCTGGGCATGTATAAGGCTGCTTTCCCGTGTGTAATAAAGGCTGAACATGGTTTAAAGCTCTTTCCGCATTTTGTACCCTCCATAACATTTGTGAAGGGAAGTAGTAAAAGCTTATAGCCACTGAAAATCTACCTTTCTGTAGTTAATAAATATAATTATCTTTTACCTAAAACAATGGGTTTTGCTTGAAGTGCTGCAGCCAGAGGGAGGTGGTGTGTGTGTGGGGGGCATCTCCTCCTCTGCTGGGGAGGTTACAGACCAGGCAGAGCCAAAGGGTCACTAACCAGCTGCTGCTAGGTCCTCACCCCAACTATGGGCATCTGGGTCCCTGGGAGCTAAGTGCCCCGGCTTGGTGTGGGAATGAGGGGATGGGCTTATCACCCTGGCCAGCCCTAATCAGGGCCCTGAGAGATTTTCCCCACTGTAAGGGGAGTCTCTGATGTCCCACATGGTGTGAGCTGCACTTGGAGCATTTTCCACACAAAGAACAGCTCCGAGGTTTCTTCCCCGTGTGGATTTGCAGGTGCCTGATACTCCAGGAGCAGCACAAGAAGCTTCCCTCACATTCAAGGTCTCGCTGTTGTGTGGAGTCAAATTGAATCTTTTCCTGCAGTCAGGCTGTTTCTAGTGTTTTTCACGCTTGTGAATTCTTCCATGATTGGCAAGTGACGAACTCTTACTGAAGCTTTTCCCACAGTCAACGCATTTATGCAGCCTTTCCTCTGTGTGAGTTGTCCAATGTCTAATAAGCTGTGACTTCTGATTGAAGGCTTTTGCACAGTGTAAACATTTATGTGGTCTCTCCTCGTTGTGGATTCTCCCATGACTAGTAAGTTTTGTTCTGTCGAGAAAACTTTCCCCACATTTGAGACATTTATATAGTTTTTCATCTTTGTGTGTTTTCTGATGCTTAATAAGATGTGATGGACCAATAAAATCTTTCCCACACTCAAGGCATTTATAAGGTCTCTCTCCTGTGTGCACCCTATGGTGCAGAAGAAGGTGTGGCTTCTGAGTGAAGCTTTTCCCACACGTAAGGCATTTATAGGGTCTTTCCCCTGTGTGAGTCCTCTGATGTGTGGTAAGCCTTGAGCGCTCAATAAAACTTTTCCCACAGTTGAGGCATTTATATGGCTTGTCACCTGCATGGCCTCTCTGATGCTTAATAAGGGGTGAGCGTTGACTGAAATCTTTCCCACACTCAAGGCATTTATATGGTCTCTCTCCTGTGTGCACTCTCTGGTGTAGAGTAAGTTGTGACTTCTCAATGAAGCTTTTCCCACACTCAAGACATTTATAAGGTCTCTCTCCTGTGTGCACTCTCTGGTGTAGAGTAAGTTGTGACTTCTCAATAAAGCTCTTCCCACACTCCAGGCATTTAAAAGGTCTCTCTCCTGTGTGTACTCTCCAGTGTCTAATAAGCTCTGACTTCCGAATAAAGCCTTTCCCACACTCTAAACATTGATGTGGTCTCTCCCCTGTGTGGATTCTCCTATGATTAGTAAATTTTGTTCTGTCAGCATAACTTTTCCCACATTCGAGACATTTATACAGTTTGTCAACTTCGTGTCTTTTCTGATGCTTAGTAAGATATGATTGACAAATGAAATCTTTCCCACACTCAAGGCATTTATAGGGTCTTTCACCTGTGTGGATTCTCTTATGTTGAATAAGAGCTGAACTGTGTATAAAACTTTTCCCACATTCAAGGCATTTATAAGGTCTCTCTCCTGTGTGCACTCTCTGATGTAGAATAAGCTGTGACTTGTCAATGAAGCTTTTCCCACAGTCCAAGCACTTGTGGGGTTTCTCTCCTGTGTGGGTTGCTTGATGTCTAGTAAGTCCTGTTCTGTCAATGAAACTTTTCCCACAGTCGAGGCATTTAAACGGTTTGTCACCTGTGTGGATTCTCTGGTGCTTAATAAGGGATGAGTGATGACTGAAATTTTTCCCACACTCAAAACATTTAAAAGGTCTCTCTCCTGTGTGTGCTCGGTGGTGTGTAATAAGGCGTGATTTCTGAATGAAGCTTTTCCCGCAGTCCAAGCACTTGTGGGGTTTCTCTCCTGTGTGGATTGCCTGATGTCTAGTAAGTCCTGTTCTGTCAATGAAACTTTTCCCACAGTCGAGGCATTTATAGAGGTTATCATCTTTGTGGATTTTCTGATGCTTAATAAGGTGTGAGCGATGAATGAAATCTTTCCCACACTCAAAACATTTATAAGGTCTTTCTCCTGTATGAATTCTCTCATGTTTAGTAAGGGATGAATGTTCCAGAAAGCTTTTCCCACACTCCAGGCATTTATAGGGTCTTTCTCCTGTGTGGATTCTCCTGTGTTTAGTGAGGGATGAATGTTCCATAAAACTTTTCCCACACTCAAGGCATTTATAGGTCTACAATACGACTTGGCTCCCTCCCGAAACTTTCTCCACTGTCAAGGCATGTGTAGGGTTTCTCTTCATCGGGACGTGTCTGCTGGACTGTGCTTTCCTTGGCATCCTTCAATCCTCTACCACTTGGAATTAATTCATCTGGTGTCTTCTGCCTCTCTGACCTGCGTCGATCTCCCCAGGCACTTCCCTGTTCCAAGCCCTGGGGAAAACTCCCTTCAGCTCTTCTCAGGAATGTCTTCTGCAGCTCCACTTTCCCAGGACCTTCCTGCTCCTGATATTCCTCCTTGTTCTCACTCCCTGTCCTGTCACCTGCTGGGAGAGACAGTATCCAGGCAAAAGTCACTGAATGTGTCAGGGGAGAAATGTCAGAAAAGGGACCAGAAAAGGAGAAAACAAAACAGGGTGACTATTGGGGGGGGAAGGGAAATTTTCCCTCTAATCTTTTCCATCTAGGTGTGGAATAATTTTGTGCGCACTGAGGCACATGCAGATGTGCACCACCAATGAAAACACAAAACCTGGCTGTGGGCACTCTGCTAATCAGCTGGGCTGCCTTTGAACTTCTCCTGAGCAGCCGCACAAATGCCCAGCTTCCAGGGAACACTGTGGAAGGGAAAGAACATTGGATCCTGCCTCTACATCCCACCCAAACACTCCCAGGGAAGCAAAGTCAGGGAGGAAATTCCCACCAGCGAACAGGATGGGTGGGAAGTCCTGGCTGATATTTGCCTTGAAGCTACGACACCTGCTGATGACAGCCATGGTCTGGGTGAGATGGGGCAGAACCGAGGGCTCTCACTCACCGCACATTGGGGGAGTCCCACGTTTTCCCTCCACTTGCCAGATGTTTCTGTCTCAGTTTTCCTCGTTCCTCACCTGTGCAGGTAACTCTCGGGCTCTCCCCTCCCTCATCAGCCTGGAGATCCGGGACCCACGGCTCTTCTCTGCGTTCCAGCCGGGCAATCAGCTCAGGTTTGGAAATGGGGAGTTCTGCACGGGGGGTAAAATCAGGGCACATGGAGTCTTGGGAGAACGTTTGTCACACGGAACATTCCCTGAATTCAATGGGATTCTACGTGAGACTGTGCTAACTCAGACCCCTTAGGAGCAGATATCTGCTCTGTCACACCCTCACTACAAGTTATTGGGGCACATGTGTGACCAAGTGGGGATTGTTTTCGCTCTGCCATGTTGCATGTGAGTTCTACTGCCCTGCTGTAACCCCGTGTGTGTGCCTCAGTTTCCCTGGGCACTGCACCAATATCTAGATGGGGGAAGCTACCCTAGCCACAGCATGTACACAATGGCCCATGCTCTTTGTAGCCTGAGTCCAGGAAGGGGTGCAGCCAGGGGGCATCTTTTACCTGGGAAGGAGAATAAAAGGCAGAGGAGGGACTCGGGGGCCAGACTGCTAGGTGGGGGCTCAGGCACTCTCAGGTGGCTTGGAGTGAAGGGAGGGGGTCAAGGGCCCTTGGCTGTGGGCCCCCCTCTCTCCAAGATGGGTTGTACTGGCTGCTCCTAGTTCCTGTGCTAACAAGTCTGTTCTATGCTGTGTCCCTGTAAACCAATAAAACCATCTGCTCTCCCTGTTGGCTGAGAGGCAAGTCTGCCTGTGGATGGGGCGTGCAGGGCCGAGTGGTTCCCCCTACTCGGTGACATCCTCCCACACACTTAGCTCAGGTGTTAAACTCCTCCCTATTTCCAAACCAGCAGAACCCAGAGCCCTCCCCAGGGACAGCAGGTGAATGGTGCACGGAGGAGAAACAACACAGGCAGGGTCATACCCTGCTCCTGGCCCTGAGGAAACTGCAGAAATGGGAGTGACTGAGCATGTCCATTGGGTTTCTGACTCCTCTGCCCCAATAGAAGGGGATGGTGATGAAAGTGTCTCTCACTCTGGAGCTGTGACCCTTCTCCCTTAACTCAGCTCACCAGGGAAAACTGGACCAGAGTCAGATACGCAGACCCCCCCGGTGTCTTATAACCAAGGGGCTAGAACTCCCTTACCCAGCGATGCCAGAATCTCGTAGTTCTCCTGCATGACGTCCCTGTAGAGGGCTCTCTGAGTGGGGCCCAGCAGCGCCCCCTGCCCCTGGGTGAAATACACAGCCACCTCCTCGAAGGTCACCCGCATCTGCAACAACAAGAGTCCCCCGCTCAGCCCCTGCTGCCCCAGCCATGACCCTGCTAGTCGTGGGGGAGGAAGCCTGGAGAAGCAGAATCCCACTTAGGGTAGCCAGTAGGCTGCAGGGGGTAGGAGAAGGGGAGAGCTGTTTGTGCCCCCAGCAGACAGAGAGGGGAGAAGGTTGCTCATTCGAGAGATGTTAAATGAATAGTTGAGTAACCTCATGAATTCCTATCAGTTACTCAAACAAAATACAGGACTGTGTAGCACTTTAAAGACTAACAAGATGGTTTATTAGGTGATGAGCTTTCGTGGGCCAGACCCACTTCCTCAGATCAAATAGTGGAAGAAAATAGTCACAACCATATATACCAAAGGATACAATTAAAAAAAATGAACACATATGAAAAGGACAAATCAAATTTCAGAACAGAAGGGGGATGCGGGGAGGGGAAATGTCTGTGAGCTAATGGTATTAGAGGTGATAATTGGGGAAGCTATCTTTGTAATGGGTAAGATAGCTAGAGTCTTTGTTGAGACCCCCGCGTAGAGTGTCGAATTTTAGCATGAATGACAGTTCAGAGGATTCCCTTTCAAGTGCAGATGTAAAAGGTCTTTGTAGCAGAATGCAGGTCGTTAAGTCATTGAGAGAGTGATAATTGGGGAAGCTATCTTTGTAATGGGTAAGATAAATTAATGTCTTTGTTTAAACTTAGCCATAAAGTGTCGAATTTAAGCATGAATGTCAGTTCAGAGGATTCTCTTTCAAGTGTGGTCTTAAAAGGTCTTTGAAGCAGGATGCAGGTAATCAAGTCGTTGAGACAGTGTCCTTTCTGGTTGAAATGGCAAGAAACTGTTTTTTCTTTGTGATCCTGTCTAATATCTGTTTTGTGGGCATTGATCCTTTGGCAAAGTGTCTGAGACGTTTGTCCAATGTACAAAGCAGATGGACACTTTCGACACATGATGGCATAAATTATATTTCTGGATGCACAGGAATATGTGTTCTTGATCTTATAACTCACTTGGTTAGGTCCAATAATGGTATCAGCAGAGTGAATATGTGCCTTTGTATCAGGGGGTGCCTGGCCTATCAGCATGGGGTACCAGGCAGGAGCTGGTGCTTGAGGGGAGCCAGTTTAAAAACCAACTCCCCTCGTGGACCAGCTGCCTGTCGCCCTGTATTGCTGCCTCTGATACAGCAACACAGGGTGGCAGCAGCCCCTGTCTGGGCGGGTGGGTCTGAGCTCCCAGACTTGGAACGAGCCAGAACTAAGCTGGGCTGCCTGCCTGCCTACCTCCTAATACACTTTAAATACAGAGCCATAGCGGGGTAGGTCCAGGACCCAGTGAGAGCCAGCCCAGAGCTGAGCTGCTGGCTAGCTTGCTAAAAAATTTACTGCCGGGGGGAGGAAGAGATGTAGTTTATAGCTACAGTGACCATATTTTCTGAACCAAAAATAGGGACACATTAGTCATGCCCCCTGACACCACTAGCCACACCCTTGACCCCTTAGGTCCCACCTGCCACAGGAAGTCTCACCCCTGGGGGTAGTACTTCTAGGGTCAAGATGGACACATGCCCTGAAGTAAAGGGTGACATGTGACCCCTCTAAGAACTCCTCCCATCATCCTCTACCAATAGGGATGGATCTGGGCACTATAGAAGCCCCCCATGCAACTATACTGCAATTGCATTAACCCAGGCCCCAGACCTAGGGTCCCATGACACTGCAGCACTAGGGACCCTAGTTCTCATCTTGATTCAAGATGAGAACCCAGATCCGAGACCTATTACTTTGCAGTGTAGATGCAGCCCCATTTGATTTAGGGCCTGGGAATCATCCAGAACTATCCCACAATTTCATGGGACAACTTCCTTAGGCCTCTTAACGAATGATGCTTACCAGTTCCAATTAACTAATAATCAGAGGGGGGGTGAGGGCAGCTCTGCACCTGCTGCGAACAGGGAGCTGCTCCAGCCCCACTGCAGACAGGGGTTGCTGTGGACAGGGGCTGTTCCGGAGGGGGGCTGGGAGCTGGCAGCAGCCCCAGTGTGACCTAACATTAACCGCTTAACCGACGAATGGGAATTTACATCCCTAATGAGATGTACTACAACTGCATTTTTTGAAGTTACTGCAAAACTATCAAGTATCCTCTGTTTCCACAAGCCAGAATGACAATAATGAACTAACCACGGCAATAACAGGATGGAGAAGACCATGTCACTAATCCTCACCACCACTGCTTGAAAGGTACATTTCCGATGGAGATCAATTGGGGGCTGGGCTATTTTATATGTAAAGCTACTGAGAAATGTATACGTCAATACCACGATGGCAATGCCTATATTATGTAAATAATACCTAATAATAATTGCCAAATGAGACCACTTCCCAAGCTGCGTACGAAGGGTCTGATCCAGTTTAAATTTTAAGCGAGGAGTGGGCTCAAAGCAATCTGTTGACATTATCCAAGAAGATCCAGTTAACATTTAGTCACCCTTCAAAAATCAGTCCAGTCAGTCAAAACCCCACTGCATGGTAGAGGCAATCCTTGAAGAAAATTGGCAAGACTTTGAATTGACTTCTTCTGACAGCAATGCTTTCACTAATGTGGGGTCTTTAACACAGGTTTCACTTTGTGTGTCAGGAAAACTTAGAAATGTGGTGTCATAGCTAACTCCATTCAAATCTAGGCAACATGCAGCCCAAAGACAGAAGAACAAATCCCTTGAAAATGGAAGGCAAAACACCTCACCTCTTCACAGAGCTCACAAAGGGCTTGTTCCGCCAGACACACAAGTCATGACAATCCTCTCTGGAGAGGCACGATACATCCTGCCTCTCTGTGGACATGCCAAGTGTTTTCACGTGGCGTTTTAACACGTGGTTTAAATCATCAACTGCTTAGATGAAGAAGACTCAAAGACTCCATCATCCACACAGGAGTGATGTGGTGATTTCACCTCTGTAGTAACAGACCTGATCTCTCTGTGGGCTCCTCTGGAGCAGCAGGGAGCCTTGGAGGGGAGCCTGGACTACTCTGCCTTGTCCAAAGTGTGAAAAAATACTTGGCCTGTTTCAAGTATGGTGTGACAAAGCTTGCAGGCAGAGCCCAAAAGTCAGGAAATGTTTTGCATAATAATGCAGATGAAGCATGGTACACGAGACCACGTCAAGAAAACACAGGACAAGCGACCTTGTACTGGTACTTGTTTCTGATAAGCAAAAAGTATAAATGCAGTCATAAAACTGTCAACTACGCACATAGCAGCAACATCCTGAGCAGCACCAAACACTTTTAACGGAAAAGTTTTTCTGTTAAAATCATTTGCACAAGAGAATGTCTATACTGGTATGTGCTTTTGCGCAAAAGTATCCATGCCAGTGTAGACGCTGTCTTGTGCAAGAAAGCTCCGATGGCCATTTTAGCCATTGGGCTTTCTTGCGCAAGAAATTAACGTGGTGGTCTACACTGGCTCTCCTGCGCAAGAACACTTGCGCAAGAGGGCTTATCCCTGAACAGGAGTGTTGGAATATTTGTGCAAGAAACACTAATTTTGTACACTACAAAGTCAGTGTTCTTGCGCAAATACGCGCGGCCAGTGTAGACAGGCGGCAAGATTTTGCGCAAAAGCACTTGCTTTTGCACAAAATCTTGCCAGTCTGGATGCATCCAAGATGTAATCAATTGGTATATATTATTAGAACAACCAACTCTCGCTTTGCTATAAATTGGGCTTAGTAAGAACAATTGGTGGTAGGGAATGGGCAGGATTGTCCCACACGTCCTATTCAATGTAACTAGAAGTAATAAGGCGCTTCACACCAGCGGCCCAGTGTGTGGCGTTCCAATGCGTGGGAAGAAACAGAACCACGACCTCCTGCCTGGCACTGTAGGTAGCGTATGGGTGAAGTTTATTATTGTATATAGTAGATCTTTTAGTAATTCCTTTTGCATAGCTTTGCGTGGTATTCATTGCTTTAGAATTGATAATATTTAAGGTTTAAATTGAATAGTAATTGTTCTTAAGGCTTGTAAAACAAACAACTATATTAACTTCTTAAAGCCTGCAATAAATAAGAAAGGGTTAAGTACCCCTGGCGTGTCCTGGTTTCACTTGGATGTAAAATAAATCGAACCACATGACAAGCCTGCAGCAGTCTCTCCGGAGGAGAGGCTGGGAGTGCCTCTATTTCAGTAGTTCTTAAACTTTTTTACCCCTGGACCAACTGGCTCAATATAAACCTTTTTGTGGACCACCAGTTTCTGCGAAACTTATCATTAATTACATACTTACACCCGAGCCATTTTGCTAGTGCTGCATCTGGGGAGAACAGTTTAATTTAAATTATTAAACAGATTAAGCGTTTTAGCTTTCTCATATTAGTTTATCAAATTTCATTTTAAATAAAGCAAAATATTTATTTTACTTTCCAACACAAAATGTTTCACTGTTTTTCTTATTTATGGCAGTGGTGGGCAACCTTTTTTGGGTTGGGGATCACTGACCCACAGAAAAAAATTGGTTGGGGACCACACAAGCAAGAAGCAAGGGAGCACTGAGGTTCAGGTCTTCCCACAGGTCAGATTTACTTTTTTGGTGGATTTTATGGACCCCCTTAGGTTCTAGGATAGGGACAAAAATGAGGGGCTCCTGAGGAATGCATCTGGAAACCTGCAAACCAGCCAGTCTGTCATGGCTACTTGCACGAGAGAGAGACAGACAGACAGGTCACTTAATCGTGTGACCAGCTCCAGTTTGGGAGGCCCCAGGAATATAACACCATGAGGCCATCTCCATCTTGTCTTCAATCCTGCTCCTGATTCCATCCCTGCTAGGGACAGAGAGCCGGGAAGGATTTGCTGACCCGTCCTGACACAGGATGTACACCAGAGACTTTTGAGCTGACAGTTTGTAACATCACTGCTAAGAGTCTGCATCAAGCACTTGGGGATTGATGTATGTAACGTATTCTCTTTGTAGCTGAAACAAAAAACAGGACTGTGTAGCACTTTAAAGACTAACAAGATGGTTTATTAGATGATGAGCGTTCGTGGGCCTTTGATCTGAGGAAGTGGGTTTGGCCCACGAAAGCTCATCTAATAAACCATCTTGTTAGTCTTTAAAGTGCTACACAGTCCTGTTTTTTGTTTCAGCTACACCAGACTAACACGGCTACGTTTCTATCTCTTTAACAATGTCACTCTCAACCTTTTCTTTCTTTTATTAATAAACCTATAGATCAGTGCTTCCCAATTTTATTTGGCCATGGAACCCCTAGGGTTGCCTTTAAAAAAAGGCCCCCGCCACATTTCGTCGAGAAAAAAAACACACCCCCGTCGCTGTGATTCCTGCTCTGTCTCTTTAAGAGGGGGCAAGGGAGTGCTGGCTCTTTGTGGAACACTTGCTCCCTTCCCCTCTCCACCTATCCCCCCCCCAGGGTTCCACGGAGCACCAATTGGGAATCACTGCTTTAGATTTGGCCTACCATGCTCTTGTGCATAAGGTCTGAGGCATAAATTGCTCTGGGACCATGACTGGTCCTTTGGGACTGGGAGGACCTGTTCAGAGTTGATGAGATTGGGTATTCTAACCTCTCACCTGTGCAAGGTCTGAGTCTGCTTCTGGCACAGAGAAAGCTGGGGTGTCGGTGGGGTTTTGCTTGTGAGGCTTTTTGCTGGCCACATTGGCAGCTGACATGCTGTGTGATGGGTTTGTTGCCTATGTAGGAAAGGACTCCGGTCATGGGCTGCAAGCAGGGCTGGCTCTAGGTTTTTTGCTGCCCCAAGCAAAAAAATTCCCCCCTCCTTTTTTTGTTGGCTTTTACACGTTTGCACTTTGCAATGGTTTTTTGTTTGTTTCTTTGTTTTTTGTTTTCATCCTGGCATTTTAGCCCTATAAATAGCAAATATTTTAATTATTTTTTTTCCATAAAGGCAAAGGCACTTCAAGGAAACTCCCCCTCCCCTTTAACTCGCTGCTGGGTTACAACAGCCTTTTCCCTGCCCTGTCCAGCCCCTCCCTATAGACAAGGACCCCTCACTCCAGACTCACAGGAGGAGCAGAGTGCAGGGACAGCACAGAGCCAGAGGGGCATGGAGACTGGGGGAAGCAGGGAAACTGGGGTGCTGGGTTGTGCACAGCCAGAGGAGTGCAGTGAACAGTGTGGGGCGTACAGGGCTGGTGCGGGGAAAAGGAGGCACAGAGCCAGAGGGACACAGGGATTGGGGGGACCAGGTTGTGGGGTGCAGGGGAGGCACAGGGAATGGGATGCAGGGAATGAGAGGGGCAGAGAGATTGGGATCCAGGGGCAGTGAAGGGAATGGGGGGCACAGACCCAGACGGGCACAGGGAAAAGGAGCTGCAGGGTGCAGAGGGTACGCAGAGCTAGAGGGGCGCGGGGACCAGGGTGCAGGGGCGGTGCAGGGAACGGGCGGCGTAGAGCAGAAGGATGCATGGAATGGGGGGAGCGGGGTGCAGCGGAGGCACAGGGAATGGGATGTGGGGAATGGGAGGGGCAGAGGGATCAGGGTCCAGGGGCAGTGTGGGGCACAGACCCAGAGGGGCACAGGAATCAGGGGGAGCAGGGTGCGGGGTGCAAGGATGGCGCAGAGCCAGAGAACAGGGAGAGCAGGGGGACTGGGGTGCAGGGCAGGCATGGGGAATGAGAGGGACAGAGAGATCGGGGTCCAGGGGCAGTGAGGGGAATGGGGGGCACAGACCCAGAGAGGCACAGGGATCAGGGGGAGCGGGGTGCAAGGGTGGTACAGAGCCAGGGAACAGGGAGAGCAGGGCGACTGGGGTGCAGGGCAGCAGGGTGTGGGGTGCAGGGAAGGCACAGGGAACAGGCGGTGTGGAGCCAGAGGGGCATGGGGCGGGCTCAGCGAGCTGGGCAGCTGGCAGGGAGCAGTCTCTTGCTGGTGACGGGGGCTAGGGCTGCATCAGGACTGGAGCCGACGGGGCAGGGCGAAGCGTAGGCGCACAGTGCTCCACAGCCAACTCCCTGGGACACGCAGCCAGAGCCAAGCTCCCACGGCCCTTTAAAATCAGCAGAGTGGGGCAGGGTGGGGCGGGGCAGCTGCTTACCTGGAAATGTGCCGCCCCAAGCACGTGTTTGATTTGCTGGTGCCTAAAGCTGGCCCTGGCTGTCAGTAGCCCTGGTTTTGAGCAATTTGCCCTGAAAAGACCCTCTCAGTGGTGCCCAGACCCAACCTGATATATTTACATTTCACAGCAGCCTCTGGCCGGTGGAGTCAGACTCCGGCCCTGGGAGCCTAGGTAGTTTTCCCTTCCCTGGGTCAGAAATGGGGCAACGTCACCCTCTTCTCCCAGCCAATGGGCCTGTTCAGAAAATCAGCCTCTGATTGAATGTGTTCCTGAAGGTTTATCACACCCTGTCACCTCGCCCTCCCTCCAGGTGTGTTTCCTGCCCCTCCCCTCTACAGTAAGTCCCACCCCTTGCAGCTCCCTGAAAATCCCCTACCTGAGCTGGCTTCATCACAGCCATTACCCTGCCTTGTCTTCTGGGCCGATCTGGAGCAAAACGTGGACGTGATTCCTCAGCCTGTCAGGGCAAGGGAGAAGGTTACAAAAGGGGCCACTTGAATCCATGTAAAACCGCAACCCCTCCCACTTCAGACTCTCTCCCCGCAGACAGACACTGGGTTCTGTCAGGCTGGGAAAAGCCTCAGTCAGTTTGTTACAGCCCAGACCTGACCCCTCGCACCTGCACTGAAACACGTGGCCCTTTTAACTCCCCCCCCCCCCCCCACACCAACCCCAACAGAGAGAACCCAAAAATGTGAGGAAAGAGCAGAATCAAAGGAGCCACTTTGGGGGATTCCCAACACTAGACCCAAGGGCAACACATCCCCCAAGCTTCTGAGCCTTGAGGGGGCCCCCCCTCAGAACTGTCAGGCTTGTCCAACCAGTTTCCAGGGGGGAAGAAAATTCCCCACTGGCTGCTGGGTGGGGCAGCCCCTAACTCTCCCTCACCCCATAGGGGAGGGGCGTTGCCTTGTGTCCCCGCCCCGTTCCCTCAGCCAGGCTGATCTGGTTCCCACAGCCTCTCTTCCCTATGACCCTCCCCCATCACCTCCTCCATTCCAGCCCTATAATCCCCCCGCCCCGTGCATCCGCCTCCTGCCCGCACCCTCCTGCACCGTTTCCTCCTCCTGCAGCCCGGGGCCCGCTCCTCGGGTGTGTGTGGGGGGGAATAGGCGGGGAGGGGAAGGGAGGGGGGGTGTCTCTTACCTGCCCCCAATTGCTGCCCGTCCTGGGTCAGGGGCTGGGGCCGGCAGGAGC